TGAGTCTCTGTGCCCTGGGTAACAATCATTAAGATGGAGAATTTTCCATGAAGGAGAAAACAGCCCCCCTGCTGAATTGGAGCTGAGATTAGAAATTCTGGAAGAAGTATTCTCAAACTTTATCACAGGGAAGACTTTCAAGGGAAGTCTGTTAATATGCAGATTCTCTAATCTCTCTCCCAGATAATCTGTGGGTCTTCAATGGAATTTAGGACTCTGCAGTAAAGATTTAAAGGAAAAAATGAAGGGGCCAAACTGCATCCCACAAAGGAATTTTTATATTTTGTTCTTCACTTTTCTACAATTCCCTGATTTGTTATGCTTACATGTATGTTCTTATATATAGCAAGAATAAAATAGGAAGGGGCATCATTTTGAAAAATTTTCCTACTCTCTCACCTTGCTTAGCTAATTTATTTGTTTAAATATAAATTTAAACAAATTTATTCTAATCTAAGTAAAAAGATTAGATTATTCCTAATCTAAGTAAAAAGTAACTTGACCCAGAGAAGGGCTGGTCTTTGAAGGCAGTTTTATATATATCATGGAATATTATTCAGCCTTAAAAAGGGGAAATTCTGCCATCCGTGACAGCAGAGATAAACCTTGAGACCATTCTTATAAGTGAAATAAGCCAGTCACAGAAGAAAGCAGTGAGCTCTCTCCTCAGTAAAAGAGGTGCTTGCTCTCCCAGTCATGGTATTCTACTTTGGATTCAAATTGCATGGAAAGTCTGTTTAACTTGATCACAAGCTCTCCCGAGGCTAACCAACCATGGCCAGGGGTGTTCTATTCTGTTTGTGAAACAGACTTTGAAGATAGGGTTCAAGTCAATTTCGTTCTTGAATTTTCTGAAGTACTTGCTCTAGTGCCTTGCACATAGCACATATAGAAATATTGGTTGAATGAATAACAGAATGAAACACCAACTCTTCAGGGCTTATCTTGACCTTTTTCTCTTATTTTGTAATTATAGCATGTGGTTGTGTTGTTTCTGTGGTAGATTTAACCTAAGAATTATGTGGGAAAGCCTTTTTTAAAAAGTTAAAGTTCAGGTTCAGAAATATGCTATTATTAAACTAATTTTCAGAGTTTTCCTTTTTATAATAAAAAATGAACTGAGAGTGTTCAGAAGGAGCCAGACTATAATTTAAACCCAGATATACATAGTGCATTAAGTAAATCAACAAAAAATGAATAAAATTCATAGTTTATCAGTTCGGGCTCACTAATATACTTTTATTCAACCTAGTAAATATTCTCAGTTTTCTTGAATTACAGCAAACCACAGCCCATAGATTAAAGCTAGCCCACTGCTTGGTTTGCAAATAACGTTTCACTGGAACACAACGATGCTCTTCTCCTTACTGCTTAGTCATAGCTCTTTGGTGCTACAATGGCAGGGCTGAGTATTTACAACAGCAATCCTGTGGTCGGCAATGCTAAAATGTTTACTATCTAGCTTTTTACAGAAATGTTTGCTGACTCCTGATTTGGACTCTACAAGTCTCTTTATTGGCAATGTACACTAACCTTAACAAAAAAGCTCAAGAGCCTATCTCTTACCCTCTTTTCTCATTCCAAGAGGAGAGGATTGTGAACTGAAAGACAGGTGAAAAGCACTCAGATTATAGTGGGGCTTTTGTTGGGAGGAGAGAGGAGCCAAACTCTTTTCCTATTTATGATTTATGCTGTCCTGTCTCATACTGTCTTTGGAGATAGATTGCAGAAACAAAGTGGAACCATGGTAGATACTGGGAAAGCATCGTGCAGTTGTTGAGAGCAGGTTTAGGTTTACATTTCCAGAGAGAAAGGTCAAAGCAGGATGTACGCAGCTGACCCAGACAGGCATTGGAACAGGACTGGGAATAGTGAGCCTACAATCAGCGAAACCATCCTGTCATTCTTTAGCTCTGTTGCATTATGGGAAATGTTAAATATTACAAAGCTTCCTTCTCACAGTGAACAGAAATTCTCTTCACTGGTATTGGTCCATTCTTCTAGAGCTTTCTTTGTGTTATGGGTTGAACTGTCACCCCACCTCCCCAAATTCACATGTTGAAGTCCTAATCTTCAGTACCTCAGAACATGGTATCTTCCTTGAAAACAGGGTCTTTAAAGAGGTAATTAAATTAAAATGAGGTTATTAGAGTGACCCTAATCCAATCTGTCTGATGTCCTTATAAGAAGAGGAAACTAGAACACAGAAATGCACAGAGGAAAGGCCATATGAACACACAAGACCATGCATAAGTCAAGGAGAGAGCCTTCAGTTAGCCCCGCTAACTCCCTGATCTTGAACTTTTATCCTTGGAAACTGTGAGAAATTAAATCTATATCATTTAAGCCACCTAGTCTGTGGTACTAGCACACTAATATGCCATGTATCAGCCTTCATATATGAGTAGACAACTATCATCTCTTCTGTTCATCTGTTAAATATCTCTTCTCTCACATAGTTTACTGACTGGGTACCATCTCCGGTATATATTATCTTTTAAATATATATGTTCTCCAAATGTTTCTATCCATTGGTTCAATAGTTCTACCTCCAGGAATTTTCCATTTTAGGGAAATCATTCTACAGAAGCACAACATGTTATGCACAAAGATTTGCACCCCAGTGCTGCATTTTATTTTCTTCAACTTAGAAAAATGGTCTATATATATACTACTTTACTTATTTTACAAACAAAAATTAATCCCAAGTGCATGTCTGGTGAAATTTTCAAAAATATGAAAATCTGTAAGTAAAAATTTCCTCTTGCACTCTCCAGAGATAACTATAAACTTCACATATGATTATAAACAATATACATATTTTAAAACAGAAATGGGGAAACTTGTATATAATATTAGAATTTTTTCCCTTATGATAGCATGGAGAATTCCCTACAGTAATTCAATTCCTCATGGTTCCTTTCATCTCTGCTTTCATAACTCCTGCCCAGCTTTGAGTCTGGTTGTCGTCTTCATCTTTTCCCTAGTGTTAAGTGTCCTTTCTCTGGGCTCTAGACCATAGTTAAGAATAATGGCTCTAGAGGCAAACTGCCTGGGTTTGAACCTATTGTTTTCATTTCATATGGTTGCTATAACAAGTTATTACAAACTCACTCTGGGGATTAACAGGTGGACATCTTTAACAAGCTATTATTCTATCAATACCTAGAAATACCACCTTGTTAGCAAGATGTGCCTCAGTCTCTGACAACTATTGAAACAGTGGAGAGATTATCCCTCCTCATGAGGTTGCTAAGAGAATTCAGTGAGTTCATTCATGTGAATAGTGCCTAGAAGGAAGTATATGCTCAGTACTGTTAGCTATTATAACCATATAGTTATCTATGTGTCTTATTTGCTGAGTTACTAGACTGCTAGTTCCTTGAAACAAAGAACAGTGTTGCATATTATGTACTCAATAAATGTTTCTTAAACTGAATTGCTCCACCTAAAAGACTATTATTTAGCCAATAATAGAAAATTTGAAATGTTATGAAAAATATCATATCTTGTTGTCCTATTAAGTGACAAAAGCAAAATAAAATATGCATAGACAATCACAGCTGTTTTAAATGTGCAGAACTAAAAACTATGCATAAAAATAGACTGGAAGTATGCCTACACGTTAACAGTTGGTGGTCTAGGAATGATGGAATGATGGGTAATGTTTTATTCCTATTTTTATTTTCAGGCTTTCTCTATCGAGATTTAAGGTGTACAAATAATTTATATCCAATTTACACACACACACACACACACACACATACACACACCTCTTGCTTGTTAAACATTAGAGGTGATGTTATATAGAGCCAGAACTCAGGATTTGAGTTATTAATATCACCTGGGTTAGTGACAGTTCTGGTTCATCATTTAGGAGCCCTGAGTGCAGGGAAGCAAGCTGCTGTTGCCAATGTTGTTATTGTTGTAATTGTGTTTCTGCTTCAATGTCTTCACCTGAGAGCCAAGGTGAATGATCCTCCACCCAGAGGGCTGCAGCCGTTCCAGTGCGATAATGCATGTAAGCTCCTAGCATGTCGTATGACACACAACAGGCCCAGAATAAATGTCAGCTACCCTTCTCGGGGTTCTTATTCCTGAAAGAATGATGCTGATCTGATCAGACATTTTAAGTTTTAAGGAGACATTTGTTCAGAGAAGGAAAGAAGAGAAAATAGAGAATAAAACCAGCTTGATGAATCTCAGGATCTATAAGACTTATTTAAACCCCTCGCATGTAAAGATGTGCCAAATCTGATTCTACAAGAATGTTTTTCAAGTATTCTGTTTTTAGCAACAGAACTCCCTACCCCCCTCCCCAAATCTCATGAAGATTCCTCTAGATTTAAAACAGATCAAAACCACTGCCCTGGTGAAACAGAGGTCAGGTCACTCATCTGAGCTCCACATTGCTCTTACAAAGCTGAGGCTTCTCGGAGAATAATGTGGGAAAGGCTCTTCCAACATAAATGTAACTGGTTCACAAACTGCAACTTGGCCAGCTTTTCCTGGGAGAGGGGGGCACGGTGTCCTTGGCTCTCTACTGTGGTTTGCAGTGCAGCAAGGGGCAGAGGGATCATGAGCAACAGCTGTCCCCAGGCTCCTGAACTACTTGGCAGGGCATTTGGGCATGTCTCAAGCCTGTTCCTTAGAAGCTGTGCCCTTATTTGAGCCAGAACTACACAAAGGCATTGTCCTCAAACACTGGGTCTCCTCTTTCTTGACTGGCCCTTGTTTACCCATTCATCAGCAGGTGGTGGCTGGAACATTCCCCTTTGATTTTGTGGCTCAGGAGCGGCAAGCTAAGACCTAAGCTGAATAAACACCGTATCATTTGGCACTGGCACGATTCCTGGTAGTCCGGGTCAGGAGAGGTTTAAGGAGGATTAGGTTTAGATTAGAGAAGGGGTTGAGTTATTTTTTTCCCCTGTGGTCTCTCTTAAGCGCCTTAGGGTTTTGTAAGAGGAACGTGGGCTGACAGCCTGGACTCAGTTGCTCCAGAGATAAAAGTGGTGAGCGCAGTGTTCTTTTCTGGACCATCAGGGTATGTTCTTCTCCTGAACGGGGTTTTTCCCATGAGACTCATGAATTCCCGGGAATCTGCTGAAAGCTCTAAACCTTTTCTCTGGAAAACTGGGGGCGTCAGTGCACGACCAAGCACGGGCAAGTCACAAGGGCACGCCCACACCGCTTGCGCGTGCGCATACACCTGACTCGACTTACTCGCAGGCGTCCCTGGAACTCAGAAGCCAGAATTTCAAGAGCCTACACAACTCACTCCTCAGAGGGACCTCACCCTCCCCAGAGGTGAGCTTGAGCGGGGTGGGGTGGTTGTCCTCCCTGGAGTGGCTCCTCGGTGACCACTGGCCGTGCTGCCTGGCCCTTGCTGTCACACCGCCAGGTTCCTTTGGCAGGCTGGCCTTGGAGGCTGGCCGGGGGCTCTGGCACTTGCTCTTGTTTATAGCACAAAGTCTTGCTCCACTCCCTGGCGACGGCTTGCAAACCAAAGCTGTTTCATTTCCCCCAGACAAAGAGGTTAGTGGGTAGTGGAGGAGGGGAACAGTACCGCGGCAAACACCTTTGGAAAGCACACCTCCTTAGATTCCCTGGAAGATTGTCCTTCCACCCCAGTGTCTGCCAGCTCTGGCTCTGCCCTCCAGGGAAAGAAAGTGATTACTGTATTTTTCCTCCTTGTTCTTCTCCTTCTCTGTTTTGTCCTCCCTACCATCATCGTTTATTTAAAGGGTGAGCCTAACGTGTTTTTTTCTCAGACAGATGGATGTTCCCACTTAAACACTGGAGCGCCTAGGCTGCTGTTTACTTGTTGAGTAACAATGAGCAAGTCTCTTAACCTCTCTGAGCCCTAGTTTTCTCCTGAGATTAAAACAGTATCTGCAGTATGGGGTGGTCAGGAAAAATCAACATGGGGCAAGTTGGTAGCAGTTCTCTCACTCTGAGTGTATACTGGGGAATGGTTTACCATTAATATTATAAGCACATTCTTATCCTCCAATGGAACGTCATTTTCTCTCTAGAAACATCTCTAGAACCTTAAACGCAAGCAAAAAGCTTTCTTCAACTTGGCATAGGGAATTTCTATTTGCCACCTCTAGGGTGAGCAGCTACTCAGGTGGTGTCAATTTTAGGGACTGTTAAAAATTCTAAGGGCTTCCCTGATAGTTCAGTTGGTAAAGAATCTGCCTACAATGCAGGAGACCCTGAACCCAATAGTACTCTTAGCATGAAGGTAGGGGAACTTGGTGGTCCAATCTAGTCTATGTGTAATAAGCATATTTTAAAACATTCAAATTCTTCTGTTAATTATTATACCACTAATATATATATGTTGGAGAAGACCAAACTGGTTTCTACAAGAATTAACATTCATTTGCACACTTTCCATATCCTAGTAAGTGTCTTAAGCATTTTACCTAGTTTAATCCTTCCAGTAACACTCCAAAGAGGGCCTAGTATTATCATTTTATAAATGGAAACAGACTCAGAGAGGTTAAGTAAGTGGTCCAGGGTCACAGAGCTTGTACGTATCAGAGCTGGTGGTAAATCTTCAGCCTCCTTCTGCTTTGATCTCTCCAAATTTTTTTTTCTTCCAAATTTTTATGAGAATGTGTTGCTTCTCTTTACACTCCCTAAAATAATAATTTTCAGTTGAGAAGTTCATTCTTGCTTTGATAGGGCTGAGAGTCTCCTCCTAGCAAGAATCTCAGATGGCTTAACGCTGTCCAGAGCTTCAGATTTATTTAATGCAGCCTTCACATTGTTTGCAAAGCTGCTGGATAATTTATTTTTTAACCTCCATGCTGAAGAAAATTATGTAAGTGCTTACATGCTTCAGTGCTCATCAGTAAGGGAGGAAGAAATAATAGTGTCTGTTTACATCATCCAGAATGTTTGCTACTAAACATAAGAAATCGTTAAAGCCAAACACAGACTCACATGGTGGAGCTTATGTTGAGTTGGCCAAAAGTTTGTTCAGATTTTTGCGTAAGAGCTTACAGAAAAACCTAAATGAACTTTTTGGCCAACCCCAGAACTTACGCCATGCTTTCCAGCTATCCTCTCATTTTTATTGATCATGAGCAAGTTTTGGATATGCACTAAACTTCTTTATGTGATTTTTTTTCCTGATTATAAAAGTGATATATGCCCTTGGAAGGAAATTCAGAAAATATGGAAGAATATAAAGAAGCCAATAAAATAGAGCTAAATTTCTTAGTATGTGATCTGGGCCTGGAATCAAAGCTCTTTTGGGTTTAGAAAATACCTGTTCAGTAATTTTTGTGATGAACTACAAAGAAAAACCCTTTGATTCTAGTGCAATTTTAGGGTATTTTACCATAAGTGATTTTAAAGCAATCAAATGAGAAAAAATAAAATTCTTCCTGTTCCTAATTGTTACAGATGAGTCTCTAGAGAGTTTTTGAATGGGGTGGGGAGCCGAGGGGAGGTTAGCTTTTCATATCCCCAAATGCTTTGTATTATTCAGCAAACTAGATTCTTGCTTTCTTTAAACTTCCAAAATGATCTGGAATCTTGAGTTTCCAAAGCTGTGAGTTAAAAAGATTTAACGAAAAGTGTGATTTCCTGCTCCCCATTTCCCTTCCTATCTATAGAAGATTAAAATACTGTTAAAAAGAAAATTTACAAAAATCAAGTTTTCCATAATTCCATAATCACATTTGAATATTTGCAATACTTAATATTTACATCTCATCTGAATGTGACTCAAAGAATGAGTTATCCCACATGTATTTCTCACTATGGTGGCCGTCAAATATTTTAAAATATTTAAAAGTTATTTATATGCACTGACTGCATATGAACACATAATAGAAAAAGAGCAGGCTATTTGCTTATCCATGTCCTTATATCAACTATCCTGAACTGATAATGTGTTCAGAATGTCTCCTGTGGTACATAACAAGTTAGGTAGATTGGAACTTTATTTTCTTCTTTGGTAAGAGAGCAGTTGATTTCAGCATCACTTCCAATATTGTCTATAGGCCTGGGTCCTATAAAGCAATTAGGGTTTTCCAATTTATAATCCATAATTTCAGAGGCATTAATTGTGTAATTATTCATGTAGTCTTTATTTACCTATCACTTCACTTCATCTGAGAGCCTCAGTGTGATTTGTAAATATTAATACATTGTAATTACGTCTCATCACAAGAAAAACATGATAAACTGTCGCTGGTAGTTTGAAACCATTATTAGCTTTGTACTTGACCTAGAAATCTGACATTTAGATTTGTAGTTGTGGCTTCTCTCTAACCTTCAGTAAATCATTCTTCTTTTTGTGTCAGTGATTTGTTACCATGTATTGAGAGAAGACTGGATGATGCCACATTGCCATGTGATCCAATAAGAATTCAATGTAAGTTTACTCTTCCTGCTTTAAGATTTTCAGTGTTTTTCCTTTAAGATGTTAGGAGCATCTTTAACTGAACACGTGAGATTTTATTCTTAGGGTCCTCTAAATAACTGATATCACACTTCCTAGAGTGACCTTTGAGAACCAACCAACCAACCAAAGCTAGAATTATAAGCATTGCATTTACCAAGATGAAAAACATTAAGCGAGCAAGCCAACATTACAATGATACCTAGTTAGTCCGTCTGGGCTTGTGACCTTTCCCCCTGTGCCTTTTCCTCTGGACATTTTGCCATTTTACTTAAAAACCTCAGATCCCTGACCTATGTTACTTGTTGTCATTGCCTTTACTCTTATTGTTGCTTTTTAGTTACTTCTCTTAGGATGGTGGGGCTCCATGCTATGAATTATGGTTTATAATCTTTTGTCTTACGTTCATGACTTTCTGCCTCTTTCCAACATGATTTATTGCTGACCTTGTTTGTAATATTTGGATGTAATGCTTTTATATTTCAAAGCTGAACTTTGATCGTTGTGTGTTATATTTTGTTAATCTTGAGCAATGAATCTGGGGAACCATAGATGAGAAGCAGGGAAAAAAACCCAGAAATGCAATAGTAGCAGCTGTGATTAAGCAGCAGGGAAGTACAGCTGCAACGTGCACAGCCGCTCACAGTAGGGACTCGTCTGGACTGTAAATCTGAGTCACTCCCCGCCCCAGTAACACTTTCCAGGGCCTCTGAATCTAGAAAAAGGATCATCTTCGGCTCTATAGTCAATAACAATGTCTGCTTTTCCCAAAGAATGAGGAAGGGGAAGGCGCTGTTATCTACTTTTAATTATGCATTTTTCCTAGCAATATGCTAATTTAATAAACAAATATCTGAATATATCACAGCATGTCAGTGATATTAGTCATGTTCATGTTAGCATGTTTAAATGTTGGTAACTGTGTTGGCCATTTGTGTTTGTACTAACTATAACACAGATGTGTCCCCATGAAGACATACTGAGATTATCTTAAATTTTCAATTTTACACTTAATGTTAACAGAAGTAATTACATTATAAAAATCATACTTTTCCAGAAGGCTTTTGAATCCAGGTTTTACTGTCCTAGAAGGTGGCAATTGTTGATTTTAGATCTTAGACACCATAATTTTCATTAAGGCAATTCTTTTAATTGCTTGGTGGTCCATGCTTACACAGAGTAGCCCTCTTTGTAGGATACTGTCTTTATAAGTAATAGAAGTTCCTTTGGAAGCAATCTAAAACTGGCCTTTTATAAATTATTATTCCTCTTAAGCAGTCCTCAGTAGAAGCAGAGAACAGTGATCATTTTTCTTCCTTTGTTTCCTTCCTTTATTTCTTCCCTCCTGATTTACAGTCTAGTTAAAGGAAATATGTGAAATCTGTACAGAAGCCATGTAAATGTACAGAGGCATGTGCAGAAGCAAATCGGTATTCTAGTTCCAAAGTTTATCTCATCTTTAGCTGAGATAAGAGATCCACCAAACCCTACCAGATAAGGGCCTCTGAAAAATATCTTTTGGCAAAAGCACAAGCATTAACTTTAGATGCATCTCTATCCAAATGTGGGATTTCCAGGTGGCGCAGTGGTAAAGAATCTGCCTACCAATGCAGGAGACTTGGGTTGGGAACATCCCCTGGAGAAGGAAATGGCAGCCCACTCCAGTATTTTTGCCTGGAGAATCCCATGCACAGAGGAGCCTGGTGGGCTATAGTCTGTGCGGTTGCAAAGAATCAGACATGATTTGGTGACTCAGCAGCAGCTAACCAAATATGTCTCTTCCATGTAACTTACCATGTGACCTTGGACAAGTTTAACCTTAGTTTCAGCACATGTAAAAGGAAGAATATGATAGCAAACTTGTAGAAGGACTAGATAAAAATATAAGTACCTAAAATTACACTTTCTTCTTGCTAGACCTAAGGTAGTGAACTAATTGCAAAATATTCTTAACAACTCTCACTAAATCTTCTCTCTCATAATTCTCTCCCAAAGCTTATGAAAAACAGTTAGCTTTTCTTTATGTAAGAATAATCTCACCTTTCAAAAAGAAAATTGCCACTTTCTCCTTACCGACAATTATTTCTTATTCATCTTTTTTGTGCAGTTAAAGAAGTATACAATAATTGAAACAGATGAAGAAGAGTCAAGACACTGTGCCCTTATTCAGGTTGCCACAGTTGATAATGAAGTTTAAAAAGGAATAATATCTTTTTTTATTTTTTTTTAATATTTATTATGTAATTTGTTTATTTGTCTGTGCTGGGTCTTAGTTATGGCACACAGGATCTTTAGTTGTGGCATGCAAACTCTTAGGTGTGGTATGTGGGATTTAGTTCCCCTGATCAGGGATCAAACCCCCATCCTCTGTATTGGGAGCACCGATTCTTAGCCACTGGACCACCAAAAGGAATTATTATCCCAAAAGGAACAATAATATAGGCAGAATGAATTAGAATTAAACTTCAGAAAATCTAGAAAAATAAGAAGCCACATAGATACAGCATCAGAAAAATGTTCAGGAAATTCAAGCAAGGTGTTCCAATACACTGATAAAATGGAAAGGGTGGTTAAATTAAACCCTGGAATCACTTAACCTTAGAAGTAATTATGAAGGAAAAAATCCATTCTAAGAAGGTAAGTTCAAAAGAGTCACTGAAAAAAATGCAGTTAATCCTATCAAATATTCATTGGAAGGACTGATGCTGAAGTTGAAACGCCAATACTTTGACCACCTGATGTGAAGAACTGACTCATTGGAAAAGAGCCTGATGCTGGGAAAGATTGGAGACAGGAGAAGAAGGGGACAACAGGGGATGAGATGGTTGGATAGCATCACTGACTTGATGGACATGAGTTTGAGCAAGCTCCAAGAGTTGGTGATGGACTGGGAAGCCTGGCGCGCTGCAGTCCATGGGGTCGCAAAGAATCCAATATGAATGAACTGAACTAATCCTATCAAAAGCAATAGGCAGAGGGGATCAGAATAATAATGAGACTTGATCATTTAATGACAACCTTTTATGCATGCCATCTCTGTTTCTCAGCATAGCCTTGGAAGAGAAGAACCTTACTTATTGTTTTATAGATGTGAAACTGAAGCTCAGGCACAATCAAGTGACTTGTTTGAGGTCATAAAGCTAGTACGGGATTCAAAGTCCATTATAACCTGCTCTTAGGGAAAATCTGATGTGGTCGTTTCACTGAAACCTAATGATTTTGATAAACTCTATTTTTGATAGAAGGCAAACTGTTCTTCTGCCTTGAATATGTTCACCTGAGTAATTTAGGAAAATATTTAGAAGTCTTAATTATAGACATTATCTTTTGGGTTATCTTCAGCCTCTACATGTTTATGTAAATATACTGAATTTCTGAGGGACATAGAAGTCCCAAAAGAGACTTCAGACAGACACAACTGTATTAATTTCAACTAAGACCTGAGCCCAAATCCATATTTAGGTTTTCTATTCTGGTAACCTCAGCTAAGCTATGTCTTCACCTCTGGGTGAATAAGGCTTAGTGTAAAGACAGACCAAAGATAAGTGGCTTGATTATTGCACTGTAAATCACACTGGACATTTGTTGGTCATCTTGAAAGAAATAAAAAACAGTATTAACTGAAGTCTAATAAGTATATGGTAAAATACACAGATCTTAAGTGTACATCTTGATGAATTTTTACATCTGTACACACCCATGTAAATTAGCTACCATCAAGATATAGAACATTTCTAGCACCTGTTTTACAGTATCTGTAAAACTGAACTTTCCCACTCTAAGCCATCAATGGATAGGAAGATGGCCTTTGTCTACAGACTTAATTGGAAAGGCAATTATTTTAAAACTTCAGGGAGGCCTTAGATATTCAAAGGGATGCCCTGAGCTGACTATGGGGGTGGGTCAAGCGTTTACTGCATCTCGATGTTTTTGGCTGTTTCTCTGTGACATTTCACCATTCCGTAGTTCTCATAGCTAATTTCCTTTTGAGAAGTCAGTCATTCCTTCTCTGTGCTTCATCCGAGTAATCCCACCCCTGGAGCTCTCCTGGGTTGGATAATGGGAACTAGGCTTAAGCCAATAAGTATGCTGCAGATTGCCAGGAGAAATCTCAATAACCACAGATATGCAGATGACACTGCCCTTATGACAGAAAGTGAAGAACTATAGAGCCTCTTGATGAAAGTTAAAGAGGAGAGTGAAAAAGCTGGCTTAAAACGCAACATTTGGAAAACTGAAATCATGGCATCTGGTCCCATCACTTCATGGGAAATAGATGGGTAAACAATGGAAACAGTGAGAGACTTTATTTTGGGGGGATCCAAAATGACTGCAGATGGTGACTGCAGCCATGAAATTAAAAGATGCTTGCTCCTTGGAAGCAAGATAGCATATTAAAAAGCAGAGACATTACTTTGCCAACAAAGGTCCATCTAGTCAAAGCTATGGTTTTTCCAGTAGAAAGATAGAAGGTAGGAGGAGAAGGGGACAACACAGGATAAGATGGTTGGATGGCATCACCAACTCAATGGACATGAGTTTGAGTAAGCTCCAAGAGTTGGTGATGGACAGGGAGGCCTGGTATACTGTAGTCCATGGGGTTGCAAAGAGTTGGACACAACTGAGTGAGTGAACTGAACTGTACCGAATTCCCGTACCCACAGTGATAAGCAGAGGGATGGACGTGTGACTCACTCCTGCCAATTCAATGCAGTGAGACTGCTGAGACTTTTGGAATTGAGGCAGGCTCAACGTTTCAGTTGGTGCTGAATGCTGCAAGATGTGAAAAGTTAGTACAATGATCTTGCCACAGTGAGCAAAAGATATTTGAAAGGGAATCAGTATCAGGGAGAACGGAGTCAACAGACTGAAAGAAGGAAAGAAAGCTGATCTGCAGGCAGGGCAGAGCTCCTGCATCCAGAGGTGCCTGAAATAAGATCTAGTTCTGGACTTTTGTTAAAAAGACTCAACAG